TGTTAATGCAGCCTCACACTCTATAAGGCAGCAGGAATGGAGGGGAGAGGGAGGAAGACAGCATGGCAGAGAGAAAGACAGAGATACACACCCTATGTGTGAGAGAGAGACTTTGAGACAGCAGCTGCTGCCAGCATGATCCCTCCATTCTGAGCCCTGTCATGCCCTCCCCACTCTGTGGAGATGGGGGAGCAGGAACGGGGGAGAGGGACACCCTGACAACAGCACTCCTCTTCCCCCCCCCCCGCACATAGGGTGAGCAGACAGCAAGTGTGAAAAATCAGGACAGGGGGTGGGAGGTAAAAAGACCCAAAAATCAGGACTGTCCCTATAAAATCAGGACATCTCGTCACCCTACCTGCACAGCAAGCAGGAGGCTCCCGGAGCAGCTCCAAGGCAGAGGGCAAGAACAGCACAGGGCAGTGGGTGGGAGGGACACCTGAACTGCCCAGCAATTGATAGCCTGCTGGGCGGCAGCCACACAGGGAACTTAGGGGAGCTGATGGGGGGCTGTCGGCCCACCCTGGTTCCAAGCCCCACCAGCTAGCTCCAATGGGCTGCTCTATCTGCAAGCAGTGGACAAAGCAGGCGGCTGCCAAATACTATAAGGGAGCAATGGGCAACTTTAAACGAGCATGTTCTCTATTTCAGAGGTTCTCAAACTGTGGTCCACGGACCACCACTGGTCCGCAAGCTCCATTCAGGTGGTCTGCAGATAGTTCCCTCTAAGGTGCAGTCCTGGGTGGCTGCACACAACAGAATGAAGGACCATCCACCTAATTAGTGGAGCCGTGCAGGCGTGGCTCCTCTAATTAGGTGCCTGGACCCTGGGGAAGATGCACATGTAAGGTGAGGTGGTGGCCTTGGGAGGAATAGGGAGTAGGTAGGAGTGGTCAGTGGTGTGAGAAGGGGCGGTGGGGGGAATTTGGGACGTGCAGGGCTACGGCGGCCAGAGAAAGAGGCTCAGGACTGCGGCTGCTGGGGAGAGACCCCCTTCCTTCCCAGCTTCAGCTCTGTGGCTGCTGTAGGAGGGGAGAGACCCCCCTCCTTTCCAGCCAGAGCTCAGGGGCTGCTGCGGTGGGGGAGAGAGGGAGAGAACCCCCCTTCTTCCCAGTCCCAGCTTGGGGGCTGTTGCGGCAGGGGAGAGAGGGCACATCCATTGCATTAGAAAGGTTAAGACTACTGATATTAAAATATGAGTTGTGTGCTTTTATGTGTAGAACAAAAAAAGTTAATTAGTTTTTAGGTTTTTTTTTTTAATATAGCACTTTTATCCAAAGCGCTTTACAATAGTTAGCTAACGGTACATACAACATTTGGAAAGATCATTAAGTGGTCCGCCAAGATCCTCAGCAATTTTCAAGTGGTCCGTGGAAAAAAAGTTTGAGAGCCACTACTCAGCAACGTAACAACAAAACAATGTTAACCGGGATGACTTTAAGTATATTGGCTTAAAAGGCAGGTGTGTGTGTGGTGGGGGGGACTTGGACCTGTTCTGGGCACCACCAAAAATTTCATAAACCTGCCGCCCCTGGGTATGTGGAACATCCTCTGTGAACTGATCTGCAAGGTCATTGTTCCTTCCTTCTTCAGACTCACCTCGGCTTTGACACGGCACAAACCGGCTGACTGAGACACAAAATAACAAAAGAAAAAATATTTGAACAGGAAACTCGGCTCCAAGAAACTTGCTGTGACCCTGATCTCCCTGGCTGACCATTTTGTATTGTGTCTTACAGTGAGAGTCTATTTGCATACAGAGCCATCAGCTAAACAAAATTTGCAAAATCTACAAAAAAGAAGCCTACAGGAAAAAAACACTAGTGTGGGGAGAAGGAATCCTGTTTAAGAGTAAAGACAATGGATTGTTGAAATATAGCTAGGGGTACAGGGGTGTACCCGGTAGCCTTCACCTAGGAGTCAAGCTGCCTGTATGCTTGTCTTGTGAATGGAGGATCACAGCTGATCTGGCTGTTAAACACTGGGAGAAAGTCTTAGGGTGAACTCTAAACTTCATTAGACCAGGAAAGTTTCTTGTTAGTTAAGTCTAGACTCTAGAAGGCGTATAATGATTTTGTTTTGGATGTACCCAATTGTTTCTGATATTTCTACATATTTGCTGTTATTTCAATCTCTGTTCTTCATTAAATAAACTTTTACTTTGATTTCATTATAAACAAATCTAAGTGCTGTGAGTTGAGCGGAGCAGTTATCCTGAGGTGAAACTGGTAAGCTGGGGTGTACAGTTCCTTTGGGAGCAGCCAATCTCTGAATTCTGTGAGTGTCCAGTGGATCAAGGGCTGGGCACTCCAGGGGGACACTCAGAGAGTTCAAGGGTTGGAGTGTGCCAATTGGTTACCTGCAGAGGGACAGCAGAGCCTGTGCAGGCTAAGAGGGAAGTGCTTGTGTTGCCCATGGCTGGTGGAGTCAGAGAGATGACCCCTAACAGACATGGATGAGGCTTCCTCAGGCTAAAAGCCGGTAGTAGCAAGGTGCCTCACACCCCTGGGTATCCCCAGGAAGCATCACAGCCCTGGGAGACTCATACCCTCCCCCCGGCTGGGCCCATCCCACATAGGGAACTGTGTAAGTACAGTGCTGGGACTCCTCTCTTTTTCCACAAACTCTCATTACCACTGTATGTCTAATTTTGTCTGCCATCCCTTGGGGGCAGGGATCATCTGTCTCCTATCTGCTCTGGGAGCCACCGTGCACAGAAAATATATATGAACAATGATGATGACAGTGATGAAGGTGCGCCATACGAGTTACATATATGGGAAAAAATGCACGTTTAGCTATGCATGAGGAAATCATGTTACAAATGTGCAGATTTACAATTTCCATAAAATGAATTATGCATGAGAATATTTACATGATATTAATTATGTGCAAGGTTTCTTTCATACAGTTAATTATGTGTAAACGGGGGAATAGTCCTGCTATTGTGGGGAACTTTCCTGGCTTACACACTACCCTGGTGAAGTGCAGGTTAACTCACTCGAGTTTGAAACTCATCTGATTTTTTTTCAGAGTAGCAGCCGTGTTAGTCTGTATCCGCAAAAAGAACAGGAGTACTTGTGGCAGCTTAGAGACTAACAAATTTATTTGAGCATAAGCTTTCGTGGGCTACAGCCCACTTCATCGGATGCATAGAATGGAACATATAGTGAGGAGATATACATACATACAAAGAACATGAAAAGGTGGGAGTTCCCCTACCAACTCTAAGAGGCTAATTAATTAAGATGATATTGTCAACATCTCTACAGAGAAGCATTCCTACCCAACTGGCTATGTAGGTAGTTCCCTGCTAAGGTGTAGGCACCCCGTTAGCAGGACTGCATTGAAATGGCATATCACTCCAGTAACTACCAGGCGGGTGAGGGAACACGGCATGTTTATTGGTTAACAGCTAGGGCACTCCGCCAGTGTCTCTCCTGGGATAGAAACTATGTGGCAGAATTACATCACAGCTAAGATCAATGTACACCTCAGAGAATACACAATTGTCAACAATTAAGATGATTAAGATGATATTGTCAACAAGAGAAAAAAAACTTTTGTAGTGATAATCAAGATAGCCCATTTGAGACAGTTTGACAAGAAGGTGTGAGGACAGGTCTGCTCTGTGGGCTGCTTCTGTGACTCTTCTCCCAGCACTGACCTGCTTCCTGGGCTGCTTTTCTGACCCCTCTGGCTGGCACAGCTCTGCTCCCCAGCTCAGCTTGGGCTGCTGCTCTCTCCTTAGCTCAGCCCCACTCTGTCTGACCCAGGCAATTCCATGTTTAAAATTTTTATTAAGATGATGTCAAAAAAAAAGTGAACAGAGTTTGAGCATAGAAGTTTCTGGTTATCAGGCAATAACATACAGATTATCGAGGGTGCAAAATTTGATTTAAGATCAGGTGGCATAAGGAATACATAATCAGCAATATCCCCAATTGGGGATAAAAGGTTGATGGGTGAAAGTACAAGTATTGAGATATGAGGATATGAAGTTCATATAGTGGCTATGTTCAGGTATGGAGTATAATGAGTGGATATGATGATGAGGATGGATTGACCCTTACACAGAGAACTAGACCCCTCTGGCTTCCTGACTGCCTGATTAGCCTGCCCACCCTGTCAATCAGGCTGACCGGGAGCAATGGCCTCTCCCCCTTGTTCCTGGGGTCTGTCAGTGTCAGGGTTCTGATTTCCCATCGACCCTTCCCCTTTCTTTTGGTACTGGGAGCTAGCCAACCAAAACACCCCCACTGAGTTTTAGTAAGGGACAACATATGCATAAGAGAAACACAACAACAGCAACTGCAAAGCACTGGCTGAGAGCACAGCAGAGGCAAGTCATCGCTGCACATAATATTTGCATATTCAAGAGTAATATTAGCATAAGAATTATTAATTGAGGGTATAAAAACAGAAGAGCCGTACATTGGATATTTAAATTAATTTTCACATAACTCATTAACTTTGCATCTAACTCATGGGGTGGTGACAATAGGACACGCTCCAAAAATGCAGGTGAAAGGCTAAATGAGGCCGATTGTGCGCTAGGCTTATTAACATATGATAAATATGCATAAGGTTCGCCCACGCTAACGGTATTCTAACTTTTTGCTGGTGGGCCGTTGGGACCGCGCTAGCTACACCACCCTCTTCCGCCGTTCGCCTAGTGCCCGACAGTAACCCCCGCCCCGCCTCGCCCCGCCTCGCCTCCTCCTCCTACTCCCCCTCCCCTGACTTGCTCTCTCCTGTCCCCGGCATGACCAATGGGGAGCCGGACCCCACCCCGTACTCAGGGCCCCGCCCTATCTTGCCCAATCAGAGTCTGATTCCCGGAAGAGGCTCATCCAATCGTTGGTTGACAAGGCCGTTCGTCGCTCCACCCTCACGTGGAGTAACCTTTGCCTCAGTTAGCTCTCGGTCCTGCCCCGCTGCCGCACACTGGCCAATTGGAGGCGGTGTGGGGAGCGTAGCAGGAGCAGCGCAGCCAATAGCTATCAAGTGGGTGTGTCCTAGGTGAGGGGGCCGCGCCGGCGGCTGTTGCAGCTGCCGGGTTTGGGGAGCGGCGGTGGGTCTGGCCGGGCGGCCCGGGGAGAACATGGCGGTGGCGGGGTCCGGTCTGGGCCTGGCCCGGGCAGCGGAGGCGCTGGGCTCCTCCGAGCAAGCGCTGCGCCTCATCGTCTCCATCTTCCTGGGTAAGGGCGGGGGTCGGGCGCAGGGCGGGCCGAGGGCGAAGGGCAGCCGGTAACTGACTGAGGGGGGTGAAAGGTCTCGCTCGCGCCCTGCGCGTGGACGTGGAGGCGGCTGTACTGCGCATCCCCTGTGTGCGCCTAGGCTGCAGCGTGGGACCCCAGCCTGAGCTGCCGGCCAGAATCCAGCGTGTCTCGTGTGGCCGCGTGTGCGTGCCCGCTGCCCTATGCCCTGGATGCACAGACAGTTAAGGGCATGTGCACATCCTCAGGGGGTGGCTAAGGAGACACGTTCACCGAAGGACACATCATAGGCTGGGCAGAAATGCCACGTGCATGTTCAGTGTCAGAGAGAAACCCCCTAGGAAGGTGGTAGCAAATCCCACTGGTGTTTTATGCTGGGATAGAGCGATAAGAAAGAGTCCTTCCTTGTGTGGTTCTGAGACAATCCCACCAGAGACATTGCTTTGATCTGGACCTTCGGTCCTGGAAAGATAGTGACAAACTGGAGGGTGCTACAAGTGATGCTCTGAGTGGAGTTTGGTATAATAAGCTTACAAATAGCTGAAGGGCCTAAACCGCTAGTAAGCAAAGAAATTATTTTCTATCATAAATGGGGGTGTAACTGAAAGGAATGAGATCAAGGTAATGAAAATTAGTGTTTAGAGTCCTCACTCTATTCTGTAAGAGGCTGTGGGCCTGGGAACACCATTCCTTGGGACGCTTTTGAAATTGGAAAGCCAATGTGTACGTACAGACATAAGACAGCATTGCCTGCTTGACTGAGCAGGGGATGTAAAACTCAGGACTCGTTTTCCATTCTCTGCTCTGTCCCTGTGTTGTGCAACCTTGAGCAGGTCCCTTACCCACTGTGCTGCAGTTTTCCCATCTGTAAAACAAGGATAAATACATCTACATTTTGAGGGATTTTGAAGCTTAAGTACCTTGGTACTGTATGTAGGTGATAAATATCACATGCACCTCTGATTTAGTATGAACTGTCTTACATCTGGACAGGGACGTGACGCACACATGAATCTATGCCAAACATCTCTACAGAGAAGCATTCCTACCCAACTGGCTATGTAGGTAGTTCCCTGCTAAGGTGTAGGCACCCTGTTAGCAGGACTGCATTGAAATGGCATATCACTCCAGTAACTACCAGGCAGGTGAGGGAACACTGCATGTTTATTGGTTAACAGCTAGGGCACTCCGCCAGTGCCTCACCTGGGATAGAAACTATGTGGCAGAATTACATCACAGCTAAGATCAATGTACACCTCAGAGAATACACCCAGTGATTCTCAATCTATTTATTATTGTGGGCCACAACCTGGGCCACAGGTTGAGAACCACAGTGTGCCCACCCCCTCCCCCCGACTCCTCCTCACAGATCCCTATGGCCAGCGCTTCCAACCCAGAGACCCCTCCACAGAGTGGGGACAGGAGCAGAGCCTGGGGTGGGTGGCAGGGACCCTGGACCTTGCTGTGCAGCCCCGACCTGCTGGACCCCAATTGTGGGGGCCAGGTGGCAGGGCAGCTGGGTGGCAGCCCAGACACTGACCCCGTGGGGGCTGGCTGGCAGCTCCGGACCATGGACCATGCAGGGTCAGGTGGCAGCCCCGAACCCCCGCCGCTTGGGGCCAGGTGGCAGCCTCAGCCCCAAGCCTGGACCCCGCTGCACTGGGCAACCTGGACCCTGTCGCATGACCCGGCGGCATTTAGCACACAGCTAATTGGGCTGCAGGTTGAGAACCACTGGAATAGCCTCTGTCAAAATATAGCATATTAAAAAGGGCTTTCTATGTAACCTGGTCCAGGAAGCTACATATACGGTGATTGAGGCTCCCAAGCGGTTGTATGGGGCCAAGAAGTGTTTTCACAGAGAAAAGACATTAACTTGAAGTTTCTCTTCAAATATAGGTTTCATGAATCTCTGTTGTAAGTGTCCTGAGAGCTCTGATTTTGTGAACTTGGAACTGTTGAATAGTAGGGTCTGTTTAAGCAATGTGTCCCTTCACCATCTCTTCCAACCTGAGTGGCTACCGCTGCTAAACAAAGTTGCACTGGCTTAACTAAAGGTGTGATTTTTATGTTGATTTAGTTAAGGAAGTGCAAAAGGCTTTGAGGATACTATTATTTTGGTTTAGTTTAAGACTATTAGGAATCGATTTAAGCTAAACTGAAACAAACTTAAGCCGAAGGAAGAGTCCACAGAGAGAGAGAGTGTCCATACAGGGACAATCTATCTAAATTGGTTTAATCAAAGGTATTGTTTTAAACCAATGTAACCTTCTCATGTAGAGTTCCTTGAAACTGCTGAAGTTGGCAAGCAGGAACTCAACAGGCTAGAAATCTAGTGGCCTTTGTTGCCTTGTTGATCTCCTTTTCCATGTGTGAAAATTAGTGTTTACTGCATATAGTTTTTTTATTCATGGTTAGAAGTGGTGTGTTAGTGGAATAACTTTAGCCAATTTTGATCTGGAGGCCTACACTACAAAGTTAGGTCGACATAAGCTGCCTTGCGTCGACTTAATTGTGCATGTGTGTACGCTTAAATTTGTCTCCCACTAACGTAAGCACCCTGTTACGCCGACAGTAACACTGCCTTCCTGAGCGGTATAGAGCCAACGTCAATGTAGCACAAGTGTAGATGCTGCGTAACTGATGTCGACCCTAACAGTTCTCTAGCAGCTATCCTACAATGTCTGACATTCCTCCACTGCCCAGGTGTCACGTAGAGCAGAAGACCCCACGAATTTGTGTTTTCCTGATTGTCTGGCTTGGCGAGCACACCTAGCAGCTCTCCATTGTTGTGTGCAGCTGCCCAGCTGACCATGTTGGCTGCACGCTCTAGATATGCTCTGGCTTGGCATAGACAGGAGATATTGGATCTTCTTGGCCTATGGGGAGAAGAAGCTGTGCAAGCACAGCTACAGACTAGCTGTGGAAATGTTGACTTCTATGAAGGGACTGTTCAGGGGATGATGGAGAAGATGGGGACCAGCAGGAGTGCCGTGTGAAAGCGAAGGAGCTTTGGCAGGTGTATCAGAAGGCCAGGGAGGCCAACAGTCAATACAGTGTCAAGCCGCAGACCTGCTACTTATATAAAGAGCTACATGCGATACTTGACAAAGGCACCACCACCCCACACTCTAACATTGATACTTCCAAGGAGCCTGACCCACAGGACCCTAGCCTGAACAGCGGGGAGAAGGGCGAAGAGGAGGATGGAGGAACTGGCAACTGGGGAGTCCAACTGTGCCATGAACCAGGACCTGTTTGAGACTCCACTGCAGTCCAGTCAGTCCTGGCAGCCAAGCACAGATGAGCCCAATGCAGAGGAAGGAACCTCAGGTAAATGCGTCGATTTATTTCCCATTACAATGATGGCACTCCCAACTTAACAGGATGCAGCTATCGACTTTGCATTAATGTATCCAAACTAGAAGAGGCAGAGGTACAACAAAGAGAGATAGTGTTGTGATCTGCCTTTCATTGCTCTGTAGAGTTAGGCAAGGGGGACCCTGTGGGGCAGTTTATGTACGCTGGGATATTCCTTGAATCCTTCTGAGAGATCTGGATGAAACTTTCACTGAGGTACTCTGGAATCTTCTCCCAAAGGTTTTTAGGGATGGCAGCCTTATTTCTTCCTCTGTGGTAGGAAACTTTCTGCATGCCACTCAGCGATAACTTCGGCGGGCACCATTGCAGTACACAGGATAGTACAAGCTTGCGTGGCTTTGGAATGCCAGCAGCAACTGGGCTCTCTGTCTGCCTTTGTTACCTTCAGGAGTGAGATACCAGTGAAAATCTCGACTGCCTGTGGAAAATAGTGCCAGTATTCCATACCATTTCCCTATATTTATAGTTTCATGCAGCCGAGCAATTCTCTCATTTCCCTCGTGCATGGTGCTCATACTCACCATGGCTGGTGCTGTGAATGGCACCAGGGATCAGGAACTCAAAAGTATAAGTGTCCATAAGCTAGTCTTGTTTAACACTTTAGAGGTGCAAGGGAAGGGGAGAATTCTGAATCTAATTTTCACTTTCTGTTGTAACTATGTTGACTGTGATTATACTGACTATAGTACTGCTCTGTGTTTTCTCTGCAGCTGCTGCCATTGCAGCCTTGACATTTCCCCCACCACACCCGGGGAACACCTGAGCCAGATAAGGGAAAGAAGAGGACTCAGGATGACATGTTCAATGAGATCTTGCACGCCAGTGCTGCATCAGACCATGAGCACATGGCCTGGTAGGTCAACATTGCAGACAGCTTGGAGAAGGAAAGAGTGGAAAGGAGAGAGGCCTGGGAGTCCCAGCAGGAAAAGGAGAGTGAAATACACCAGGACATAATGGGGCTTCTCAGGCAGTAATCACAGATACTGCAACTCTGATGGACTTACAGGTTCAACAATCCCGGGCTCACTTTCCTCTGCAACCCACTGAGAACTCCATTATGGGACCTCCCTGCCTTGCCCCCAACATTCCACATGGCATCAGAGGCTGCTGCACTACCCATACCACTCCACCCTGAGTACATTAAAGACAATCACAGCTTCACATACACTGACCTGTGAAAACCACAATTGGTCTGTTTAGCTGAAATTGACACGAATGTTCTTTTCCCTTCATACGTTCCGTTCTTGTTAATTTATTATGTTTTATTAATTTTTAATGCATTTATTTTAAAATTGCACTGGGGGGTGTACTGATTTGGTAACGGAATAAAATTCTATTATTTAGAACATAATTTATCTTTATCAGTTCACAACATACGTTGCCGAGTGCCTAGCAGTTCTGAAAGCAACCAACTATTCATTACTGCACAGTGTCACAAACTCATAGGATTGGTCACAGACAAAATTAATAGGTGCATTGATAGTATTAGAATCATACATGTACACCAAGCACCACACAGTTCTTAGGCCACAAAACAGCAGAACCTGGTAGAACACAGTACACTACAGCGCATTACTGTGGATCACTCTTGAAGTGGTCTT